AATATTATATATTATGAAAGTGACGAGGTGCTAAACCTGGGGTGGAAGGGCGCAAGGGGGGGAGTGGAAGAGGGGGGGATGGGGAAGACAAACAAAAAAGAGGTAGAGACAGAAAAGGAGGTACAGGCTGATAGAGATACAAAGAGAAACAGAAAAAAAATACAGAAAAATAGACAGAGATAGACAGTGACAGAGACAAGAGTCAGAGGCACAGACAGATACAGCAGATAGATGATGGGTAGATGGATACATAGATGGAAAAAATGGATCAATAAATGAATGGATATATGAATAGAGGAAAAAATAGATGGATGGATAGATAGACTGATAGAGATAGATAGATATGGATAAATAAATGGATAGATGGATAGGACTGAAAATGAATGAACAGCCAGATGAATAGATGGATAAATAGAGGGATGGATGGATAGATAAATGTGTAAATGGATAGATGGATAGTTAGACGGATGGATAGATAAGTGTACAGATGGTAGAGACAGACCGACCGGACAACAGCGGGTGCTGGCCTAGTTATTAGTATTACTATACGCAATCAATTTTTAATGTTACACTTAGAACCCTTACTTTTCATAATACAATTTTAACGTTCTCATACATATATATTGAACACCAGTATCGAATCAATATAAGAAATGAGTTTCATATAATTAACTTAAAGATTGTCTGTTCAAGACTGCGAGAAGAATTAGTGCTCGTAATAACACGCAACCTGTCTTATTAAAAATTACGTCTGAATTTGGCCGTTTGCCCATATGGCCGAAAATGGACGTAATTTGAAAATGGAAAAGTAATGGAAATTAAATTTTGGATTGTTTTTCTCCAAAACAGCAAGTTAAGGGTCCTCTGTTAGGTTAGGAGGGCAAGAAGTTCTTCTAAGGTTCCAAAACGTCATGAAAACCGTTTATTGAAAGTTTCCTCTCCGACTGTAACCGAGTAAGCCGGAGGACTCCAAATAGAAAACGGGATAGTACGTCACTTTCCTAAGCCGAATTCATTTCAAATTATGTCCATTTTTTACCATAGTGGCAAACGAGCGAAAAGCGACGTAATTTTAGTAGGACGGGTTGCTGACACAGCAGACCTAATCAAAGTATTCGATTGAAGATGTACTCACCAAGTTGTATTCACCAAATTGTGTTTGCGGGGGTTGAGCTCTGGCTCTTTGGTCCCGCCTCTCAACTGTCAATCAAGTGATGTACAGATTCCTGAGCCTATTGGGCTCTATCATATCTACATTTGAAACTGTGTATGGAGTCAGCCTCCACCACAACACTACTTAATGCATTCCATTTGTTATCTACCCTGACACTGAAAAAAATCTTTCTAACATCTCTGTGGCTCATCTGGGTACTAAGTTTCCTTCTGTGTCCCCTTGTTCGTGTTCCACCCGCGCTAAAGAGTTTGTCTTTGTCCACCCTGTCAATTCCCCTGAGAATTTTGTAGGTGGTTATCATGTCTCTCCTTACTCTTCTGTTTTCCAGGGTTGTGAGGTTCAGCTCCTTTAGCCTTTCCTCGTAACTCATTCCTTTCAGTTCCGGGACCAATCTTGTGGCATACCTCTGAATCTTCTCTAACTTCGTCTTGTGTTTAACTAGGTATGGACTCCAGGCTGGAGCTGCATACTCCAGGATTGGTCTTACATAAGTGGTATTCAGGGTCCTGAATGATTCCTTACACAGGTTTCTTAAGGCAGTTCTTATATTGGCCAGTCTAGCATATGCCGCTCATGATATCCTTTTGATGTGGGCCTCTGGGGATAGGTTCGGTGTGATATCGACCCCCAGATCTTTCTCTCTATTTGACTCTTGTAGGATTTCACCTCCCAGATGGTACCTTGTGTTCAGCCCATCGCCTTCGCCTACTTTCTTCGCCTAATTTCATTACTCTACACTTTCCTGAGTTGAACTTTAGCAGCCATTTTCTAGACCATTCCTTCAGTTTGTGCAGGTCGTCCTGTAGTCTCTATCTATCTTCATCTGTTTTGATTCTTCTCATAATTTTTGCATCATCAGCAAACATTGAGAGGAATGAGTCTATACCCTCTGGAAGGTCATTTACATATACTAGAAACAGGATGGGTTCGAGTACAGAGCCCTGTGGGACTCCGCTGGTGACATCTCGCCACTCTGATGCCTCCCCCCTCACCGTTACTCGCTATTTCCTATTGCTTAGATACTCCCTTATCCACTGGAGCACCTTACCTTTTACTCCTACCTGCTGCTCCAACTTTTGTAACAGCCTTTTGTGAGATACTGTGTCAAAGGCTTTCTGACAGTCCAAGAAAATGCAGTCTGCCTACCCTTCTCTGTCCTGCCTAATTTGTGTTGCTTGGTCATAGAATTATATTAGCCCTGTGGGGCACAATTTACCATCTCTGAACCCATGCTGGTGGTGTGTTACAAAGCTGTTTCCCTCCAGATGCTCTACGAGCCTTTTCCTCACAATCTTCTCCATCACCTTGCATGGTATACAAGTTAGGGAAACTGGCCTGTAGTTCAGTTCCTCTTGCCTGTCACCCTTTTCGTAAATTGGGACTACATTAGCTGTCTTCCAGCCTTCCGAAACGTCTCCCGTTTCCAGTGACCGGTTATACACCATAGAGAGTGGTACACATAGTGCTTCTGCACCTTCTTTTAGAATCCACGGTGAGATTCTGTCAGGCCCAAGAGCCTTCGACACATTCAGCTCCAACAGATTCCTTTTGACCTCATCACTGGTGAGGTAAAATTCCTCCAAGGTTGTTCGGTTTGCCTCCTCATTTATTGCAGGGACCTCTCCTTGTTCTATTGTGAAGACCTCCTGGAATCTCTTGTGGAGTTCTTCGCACACCTCTTTATTGTTCTCTGTGTATCTGTTCTCTCCTTTTTCCAGTTTCATCACTTGTTCCTTTACTGCTGTTTTCCTGCTGATGTGGCTGTGGAGCAGTTTTGATTGGGTCTTAGCTTTACTCGCGAGGTCATTTTCATACTGCCTCTCTGCTTCTCTCTTCACTCTGATGTACTCATTTCTGGCCCTCTGGTATCTCTCCCTGCTCTCTGGTGTTCTGTTGTTCCTGTAGTTTCGCCATGTTCATTTACTCAATTGCTTCGCTGCTGCACATTCCTGGTTGAACCACGGATTCTTCTGTTGCTTTTCATTTTTCACTTTTTGGACTGGGATAAACCTGTCTGCAGCCTCCTGACACTTCAGAGTGACATAATCCATCATATCCTGTACAGTCTTTTCTCTGAGTTCTGTTTCCCATGGTATTCCCATTAGGAAGTTCCTCATCTCGTCATATTTTCCACTTCGGTAATTTAGTATTTTTCCTTCCAATCCCATCCTTGGATAGGTTATTCCTACTTCTACCAGATACTCAAATATCAATACACTGTGGTCACTCATTCCTATGGGGGCTTCATATTTGACTTCCCTTATTTCTGAGCCATTTAAGGTGAAAATCAGGTCGAGTCTAGCTGGTTTGTCATTTCCTCTCATTCTTGTGGGCCCCTTCACATGTTGGCTCAGAAAGTTCCTGGTACTCACTTCCAAAAGTTTAGATCTCCATGTGTCTTCACCTCCATGTGGGTCCCCATTCTCCCAGTCTATCTTTCCATGGTTGAAATCGCCCATGATTAAGAGTCTGGATCCATTCCTGCAAGCAACTGAAGCTGCTCTCTCTATTATGTTAATGGTAGCCATGTTGTTTCTGTCGAACTCTTGTCTAGGTCTTCTGTCATTTAATGGAGGGTTGTAAATGACTGCCACTATTATCTTAGGTCCACCCATTGTCATAGTTCCTGTTATGTAATCTCTGAATCCGTCGCAGCCCGGAATTTCCATCTCTTCAAAACTCCAGTCCTTCCTTATCAGCAGAGCCACTCCTCCTCCTCCTCCTCTCCCGTCTCTCTCTTTCCTTACTATATTAAAGTCCTTTAGAAACACAGCATTTGTTATGACTCCTGACAATTTTGTTTCTGTGAGTCCTCTTACATCTGGGTTTTCTTCTTGCGCCCTTCTGCCCGTTCACTTGCTTTGTTGGTAATCCCATTGATGTTTGAGTACATTACCTTGAAGCTCACTTTCCTATATCCATTTTCACCCACCCTCCCCACTAGTGCAGGAAGCTGTTCCATGGGCATTGCTGCTTGGGTAGGCTCATCCTCCTGTGGGGTAGTTACAAGGGGTTCTGAGGGAGGTGGGGGTGGGGGGGGGGAAGAGGGGCAGGGGGAGGATGGCTTATAACAGGGGTGGGGGATGGAGGACTAAATTTGTGTCTGGGTCGGCTTGGGGCAGAAGGAAGACAGGGGGTGGGAGGGAAAGGGGTACTCTGGGTAGGGAGGGAGGGTGTAATTGGGTGGAATGGTGGAAATCCCCACCTATAGGGTGGTGAGTTGGGATGTTGCAGTCCCCTCTGGGGTTTCCGAAGTGCTGGGTTGGGGGTTCCACACTCCCCACTGGGATTGCTGGGTTGGGGGTTGAGGTTCCCTGGCTCCTTTCCCTCTGCCTGCGCCTTTTCCTTCCATCTGCTGCCTGTATTACCTCTGTCCTGGTCATGTCCCTCTGAAGGAATACCTGTCTGTAATTCGTTACATATTTCAGTTTGCTCTTTTTTGCTAGTATGTTCTCTTTGATGCACTCGTTTTTGAGCACTACCTTGATCAACCCGTCTTTGTCTTTGTTGTATTGGCCAATCCGGAAAACTTTTCTTTGTCTGTTTCAGCCCCTTCCATTCCTATCTCCTTTAATATCCCTGCCACTGCCGCTTTGTCCTTAGACCTCCATTCTTCCCTTGTGGAACCCTCTTGTTCCTTAACACCTATCACTACTACAGCTCTTTTCCTTTCCAGTAACTGGCTCGTGCATCTAGCTGCCTCCTGTGTGGTTATTGCTTTTATTACAACTTCCTTGACTGTGGTCATTGCTACTGGGCTCTTAATGTGATAGATATGTTATGCTTTAAATAAGCCTCCTTTACACGATTAACCCATCTTCGCCAGAAAGCTTTCAAGACTTCACGGGGAATAAGATGAAAATAGCCACACCGACGCCATACTTCCCTTACGTGGACTACCAGCGGGTCAGGGAGACTCCTGGAACAGCCGTCATGTTGACCGACTCCCTTGATGCCCGGCTCATCCACACCTTCGCCCACAAACTCAACTTTACGTAAAAATATTATTCTTGTGTTAAATGTTTGATCATGAATATATTATATCACCTTTGTGTGAGCTTATACAAATTTTAACATCTGTGAGCAGCTCATATATAAATTGGGAGCCTCAGAAAACCAACATTGTTCAACTTCACAATGGACACTAATTGCATTCCCCAACTCTTGATAAAAATAAAAGTCAACCAAAACCCCCTCCCCCCATACCATTCTTTCTCACATTCCTTCTCAGACTTCCATCATATCTGGACACCGCTGGTATGTCTTGATTTCTCATTCAAATCTCATAAAATTCCTATCTACCATTTTGTGGTGACTTTAAGATACTGAAAAGCTTTAAACAACGTTTTTGAAGCTTAAAATACAACTGAATATGTGAAGCTACCACTAGAGTGTACAAGCAGTGAAGACTAGCAGGAACTAGCAGGCAACAGTGGGTGCTATATGCACATTCTGAACCATTAAAATATATTATTACAGCCATATAGCGTTGAGGGTAGTAGTTACATATCCAAGAATATGGCAGACACTCAGACGCTGGAACATATTGACCATAGTATAAATGGCAACTATGGTCATCATCACAACGTTATAGAGAGAAACATCCAAATATTTATATAATCTTCATATGGTCGATATTCAACAAAGATGTCAAGCTGGTAACCATAAACTACAGACAGATTTCGTTATTTTACATTATATTCTGAAGAACTAAATGGAGAAAATATTCAAGAAACGAACTACAGAGAATTTAGAAAGAAACTTGGTAGACGCCCCACAGATCAGAGAAGGCAAGTCGTGTCTGACAGCCTATTACAGTTCCACAACAATGTCGTCAACTTGCGCCAGAAGAGTGATGATTGCTTTATTACATTTTTCTAATCGATACAAAACTTCTTTGATTTTATACTTCAAAAAGACTTCAGTGTAAGTTAGAGAGAAATTTGTAAATAACCATAAAATATTCGCTGGAGTAAGGAAGCCTGGACAAGTGTGTGGGGTTAAGTGGAAAATTTATTTATTATTTTATATGGACTGTTTTATATGGACTTATATGGCTAGTGGACTGTATACGTTTTATTTTGTTCCTCACAATTCCCACAGTGGGTGTTTATCACAATGTTAGTTGATAAATTCAGATCTTACATTTTATATGGTACAGTGTTGAATTAAATGTTGACTTACTGTTCTGAATTAAACCCTAAAACTTCATGGACTGTAGACAATCATATAGTCACGATTTACAATATGAAATAATAGACATATGACCACAAGCCCACTACCAGAGGAGTAAACTCCGAGTTTTAAGTAATAGATTAATTGGTTTAAATAAATATGCTGTACGATCTGAATTGCGTTAGAAACTGTATTCTTATCTGGTAAGAGGACTTCTTTAAGGTATGGTAGCTTCTAAATGTCAATAACCTAAAAAAAATTCTATATACACTGTGCGTAGCTAGCGACCACCTGTTCAGTGTTGGTGGCCACCAGGATACGTCTCCTCCGGCCGGGGAATATGTTAATAATTCAAGAGGCACGCAATTATTATGTAAAACACTTCCACTCTAATTAATAAATTGGGTAATACAAGGGGTTCAGAGGATTTAACAAACTGGACACTTTACTCACTGGAGAACTGAGGCCCCCAACCACACCCTGATAAAATAAGATCAACCACAGCAGCCACCTTGCTGCTGTCGTCAATCATCAACAATGGACATTGGAGTGCATATAATAAGTTGGGAGATCAGCCTGTATCGCAATACACTTGGAGATGGGGTTTAACTCACCTTTATTTGGGGTACGGCTTCAAAACTTGCCTATTGGTCATACATACACCCACACAAACTGTCGTGACTCCCCCCACCCTCTCTTTCCCATGGGATGATCCCTTAAATCCCCTTTATAGATGTTACTAACCTCTGTCCATCAGTTTGCAACCGTTTCTCTCTCTTACTATCCACGAAGCCTCACCGGGAAAGGAGGAAAACCTGCTGTCAACAGACAAACATTTATTACATGAAAACTTATACAAAGAAATATATATATATATAACTAGAGACCCTAAGGCCGCCAGTTTTCTCTTTCAGTTCCTTAGTGTGGCGATCCAGAGAGGAAATGCTCACTGCATCTATGGTTCCTGCCCGCCATCTGAGGAGCAGGAGGAGCTATACAACTTGTGACAAGTAGTCTAGTACCTTGCATGTAACCAATGTTGTAACCCTTTTTGTGTAATGAAATTAAAAAAAAAATTATATATATATATATATATATATATATATATATATATATATATATATATATATATATATATATATATGTTGTACCTAACCTAACAACTAGTAGCCAGAACGTCGTACTCGGCCTGCTATGCAAGGCCCGATTTGCCTAATAAGCCAAGTTTTCCTGAATTAATATATTTTCTCTAATTTTTTTCTTATGAAATGATAAAGCTACCCATTTCATTATGTATGAGGTCAATTTTTTTTATTGGAGTTAAAATTAACGTAGATATATGACCGAACCTAACCAACCCTACCTAATCTAACCTAACCTATCTTTATAAGTTAGGTTAGGTTAGGTAGCCGAGAAAGATAGGTTAGGTAGTCGAAAAAACATTAATTCATGAAAACTTGGCTTATTAGGCAAATCTCATAGTAGGCTGAGAAGTGCGTTCTGGCTACTAGGTACGACATATATATATATATATATATATATATATATATATATATATATATATATATATATATATATATATATATATATATATAATGAACTAAATAGATAACAGAAGAGACAAGACTGCATTAATATTTCTAAAGGAGTATCTAATTTATATAAATACACATCAAATTCAGCACATAAATTTATCATCAATGCAGCATATCAAATGTTAATTAAAATATTCAGAGTAACTGCTGCAAATATTCGCTTCTCCCAACTACCAAACAAATATTTTGATCAAATTGACCGGCAGTTTCGATGTCCATGAGGCTGTGAACCGCACCTGGGGAGTGGAGACGAACGGCACCTTCACCGGGACCATTGGTCTCCTCCAGCGAGAGCAAATGGAATTTTCCACCATTACAGCACCGACGGCAAAGCGCCTCAAGGCAGTAGAATATCTAAAGAGCTATCCTTCTGATCCATTTGCGATAGCCTCTCTTAAGCCGACTCTTCGCCCGAAATACTTGGCTCTTATTCGGCCATTTAAAGGTAGATTTCATGCATTTTTTTTTAGATGAAGCTTTTTATGTGATCTGTTAAACCAGAGACTTGCATGATTATACCTTCTTTAAATATTGTAATTAAGTGAATGATTAAACGGCGTTATTCTTGCATGTATGTCTTACTCATTTATAGTTACCTCAATGAGCATAATGCCTTTCGTGATGTAGCTTTAAAGCGTACTTAATTATATAGGTTAAGTTAGGGAGAGAGAGAGAGAGAGAGAGAGAGAGAGAGAGAGAGAGAGAGAGAGAGAGAGAGAGAGAGAGAGAGAGAGAGAGAGAGAGAGAGAGAGAGAGAGAGAGAAACAAATGAGAACATAAGTAAACTGAGAACAAACTTGGTGTAGACACTTAATTTTTACTCAGGTATAAATATATTCTGAATATATTATAATGATGTTTATTATCATCCCATGTTCAATTAACACAATTAAATCATATAAAACTGTATATGCAGCCTATATAAACCTATAGAAAATAATTCACCAACAAACTCCCTCACTCAGGAGAGCTGTGGGTGGGGCTGGTGGTGAGTGTTGTGGTGTGGGGCGCGACGCTGTGGCTGCTGCAGAGGGCGTGGCAGAAGGTGGCGGGAGGCCGTCGTGTGGACCTGACCTCCTCCCTCCTGTTTGGTTTTGGCGCGCTCCTTCAAAACCTGCCTTCAGACCCCTCCGTCAGCGTCTCTGGCAGGGTATATGTTACTGATACTAATTTTGTTTGTTACTTCAATGTTAATAGCGATAAACCCGGGTTTTCTAACATTTTTAGTTGCATATCTCTCTCTCTCTCTATTATATATATATATATATATATATATATATATATATATATATATATATATATATATATATATATATATATATATATATATATATATATTAGTATATTTTGGTAGCAGTCTTTCCTGTAGACGTATATTATTAAATATGACCGAAAAAGTAAGATTAATAATTCTAACACGAATTTTCTCAATCTTTCGTACATTACGCTTCACTGTTGGAGGTAAATAAAAAATCACTTCTCCAAAATTCATTTTTATTTCTAGTCTGACGCGACACGGGCGCGTTTCGTAAAACTTATTACATTTTCAAAGACTTCACAAATACACAACTGATTAGAACTTACGTATCTCTGATTTTATATCTACATTTGAGTGAGGTGGGAGGGGTGATGTGGCATTAACACAAGACAGAACAAGAGGGGATATTAATAGGGTATTAAAAGTATCAACACAAGACAGAACAGAAACAATGGGTATTGAATAGAAGTATTTGTAGAAAGCCTATTGGTCCATATTTCTTGATGCTTCTATATTGGAGCGGAGTCTTGAGGTGGGTAGAATATAGTTGTGCAATAATTGGCTGTTGATTGCTGGTGTTGACTTCTTGATGTGTAGTGCCTCGCAAACGTCAAGCCGCCTGCTATCGCTGTATCTATCGATGATAGATACAGCGTAGATGATGATAGATCTCAGCCTACTCATGAGAAACTCTTCAGACACAAAACAGAACGCTTTAAAAGAGACTAACGTCGTCTATCCCTCCAAATGCCCTCTTGGGGACTGTAAGCTCCAAAAAACCCAGTATATAGGCAAGACAACAACATCTCTTTCTAGGCGTTTAACGATGCATAAGCAACAGGGCTCCATTAAGGAACATATAATCTCTTCCCACAATCAAACCATCGCCAGAGAAATCCTAGTAAACAACACAGAAATCATCGATAGATACAGCGATAGCAGGCGGCTTGACGTTTGCGAGGCACTACACATCAAGAAGTCAACACCAGCAATCAACAGCCAATTAATGCACAACTATATTCTACCCACCTCAAGACTCCGCTCCAATATAGAAGCATCAAGAAATATGGACCAATAGGCTTTCTACAAACACTTCTATTCAATACCCATTGTTTCGTGTTCTGTCTTGTGTTGATGAAATTAATACCCTATTAATACCACCTCTTGTTCTGTCTTGTGTTGATGAAATTAATACCCTATTAATGCCACCTCACCCCATCCACCTCACTCAAATGTAGATATAAAATCGGAGATGCGTAAGTTCTATTCACGTCACGCTGGGTGCAGTCGCACCTCCACAGATCTCTAGTATCATCTATTGATACTGGTAATGGCTCAAAAGGGCCACCACTTACGAGCTATTCATGCCCGTGCCACGTTTTGGGTGGCTTTATCTTCATCTTAACACATTCATAAGGGAGACATCTCCCGTCATGCAGGGTGCATTCGCACCTCCACAGATCTCCAGTATCAGCTTTTGATACTGGTAATGGCTTAAAAGGGCCACCACTTACGGGCTATTCATGCCCGTGCCACCTTTTGGGTGGCTTAATCTTTATCAATCAATCAGTTCTATTCAGTTGTGTATTTGTAAACTAAAGTCTTTGAAAATGTAATAAGTTTTACGAAACGCGCTCGTGTCACGTCAGACTAGAAATAAAAATGAATTTTGGAGAATTAATTTTTGATTTACCTCCAACAGTGAAAAGAAATGTACGAAAGATTGAGAAAATTCGTGTTAGAATTATTAATCTTACTTTTTCGGTCATATTTAATAATATATGTCTACAGGAAAGACTGCTACCAAAATATACTAATATATATATATATATATATATATATATATATATATATATATATATATATATATATATATATATATATATATATGTCGTACCTAATAGCCAGAACGTACTTATCAGCCTACTATTCAAGGCCCGATTTGCCTAATAAGCCAAGTTTTCATGAATTAATGTTTTTTCGACTACCTAACCTACCTAACCTAACCTAACCTAACTTTTTCTGCTACCTAACCGAACCTAACCTATGAAGATAGGTTAGGTTAGGTTAGGTAGGGTTGGTTAGGTTCGGTCATATATCTACGTTAATTTTAACTCCAATAAAAAAAAATTGACCTCATACATAATGAAATGGTTAGCTTTATCATTTCATAAGAAAAAAATTAGAGAAAATATATTAATTCAGGAAAACTTGGCTTATTAGGCAAATCAGACCTTGCATAGTTGGCCAAAAAGTGAGTTCTGGCTACTAGGTACGACATATATATATATATATATATATATATATATTGTGACGGTAAAGTGTTGGAGTGTTGATGTTCGGCAGTTTCAATGGCAGGGGGCAATGCCTCGTCACATTTACAGAAAAAAAAAGAAACTGTTTGCCCTGTTTGTCTGTGGTAAGGTAATGGAAAGACACACAAAACACAAAGTATAAACAATGAAATTTTAATTACTCTAGAAAACAAGATATGAACAAAGACAATCCCTTGGCTTAAGTAAAATTCAAAACAAGTCAACAAACAAAACAACATGAATAATTAATGGCTGTAAAATTTACTCTAAAACAAAATAAAGTGCAAGAATAATAATAATATTAATCAGGTGCTGAGAATACTGGCTTAAGCTGCCACCTCCCTTAGTACACGTCAGCCAGAGCTTTGTCTACCAGAGAGAGATGTCAACTCCAAAGAGCACAGAGATATTCTGAGGAGTACGGCGTGTGCTGGCCCAGACGTCGACTCAGGTAGTGGACGTGAGTGCAGGTGCGGCAACACACCAGGCAATCAGGAGCAGGCAGACGGAGAATGGGTAGTTTGCTCGTTGACGGCAGGCGGGAGCCGGTGTGTCTGGTGGTGCAAGGTACGCTTTGCTTCCTGGGCAAAACGTTTGGCGATACTGGTGGACGTATCTTCAATATAGTATCTTGTACTTGAATGACGTGAATTATGTAGGGAAGAGCAGGCTCAATCTCTCTTGAAAGAGATTATCGTCACAATATATATATATATATATATATATATATATATATATATATATATATATATATATATATATATATATATATATATATACTTGCTTTTACCTGTTACAGGTGTGGTATTAATATAGTAGGTACTGAAAAACATGGGAATATTCGAAAAGAACGTTGAGTCAAAATTTCAAAGCAATCGACGATGAACTTTGAACTTTTGGAGAATACAGTGTGTGTTGCTCTTATGTCCAACAGATTGCGCTGTTTTTCAAAACAAGCCTGTTTTTTTCCTGTCACAGGTGAGGCATGTACATAGTAGTATATAAAAACATGGGCCGATTTGAATGCAACATTGTGCCAAAATTTGAAAGCAATCGGTAAAGAGGTTTCGAAGATTTCCCTCACATGAAAAACACTTGAAAAACACAGTTTAAAAAAAAAAACTATTTTTTTTCCTATCACAGATGTGACATTTCTATAGTATGTATATAAAAACCTGCTCGGATGCGAATGGAACGTTGTGTGAAAATTTCAAAGCAATCGGTGAAAAACTTCTGGAGATTAGCGATTTTGAACGAACGAACATTTCCATTTTATATATATAGAAGTATAGCGCGTGTTGCTCTTTCGTGCAACAGATGGCGCTGTTTTTCAAAAAAAGAATGTTTTTTTCCTGTCACATGTGAGGCATGTATTTAGTAGATATATAAAAACACGCGCCTATTCGAATACAGTGTTGTGTTAAAATTTCAAAGCAATCGGCAAAGAGGTTTTGAAGATTTCCCTCTTATGATAAACACGCAAAAAGCACAGTTTTTCAATAAAGCATGTTTTTTCCCGCCACAAACGTGACATCTATATAGTATGCACATATAAACCCGCTCGGATGCGTACGGAACGTTGTGTGAAAATTTGAAAGCAATCTGTGGAGAACTTTCGGAGATTAGCGATTTTGAACAAACGCACATTTTCATTTTCTGTCGGTCTGAAGATTGTTTCCATTTGTTGTTCAATGATTTCTTCGAGCCTATGCGAGTCACAAGCTGATTTGATAGCCGGTAATCTTTCAATGATTATCTTTAGACTCGTTTCTTCCCATGGGGGAGGCTGCCGAAAGTGTTGATATGTTTGTTTCTAATGGTCCGTCTCATGTCCAGTTTCTCTAGGATCTTGACAAGATTATCCGTCCATGTACTTGTCCTATATTGAAGGTTTCCTCTGAAGCGATGTGTGTGTGCTATACTATCTTTGATTGACAGTCTGGTGGTGGTTTCAACAAGTTTTGCTGTTAAGATGGCTTTTCTTTGTTTGATCCTGCTTTCTAAGGCTGGTAAGTTGGTTTCAATTCATAGATTTACTCGCCGTATTTGTTCTTCCAGCATTGTTCTGAGGGCATCTTTTTGTAACACTTCGAGTTTCTCCCACTGGTTATCACTAAGAGATGTGAGAGCAGGAGCAGCATTGTCAATGATTGACCTAACTGCTTGAACGTAGTTCATTTTGAGTACTGTAGAGATGCACCATCTCTAAGACTTGTCAGGTAGCGCAAAGCTGAGTTTATGGCTTTGCAACGTTGCCGAAGATATTCAATTTCTTGAGTGAATTTATAATGATGTCTATTTTGACTCTTAGGTATTGTAAAAAGGTAACCCAATCAATTTCGTGTCTTTGTATTGCGAGTCTGACGTTTTGAGTTCTCATTTTAACGGCCATTGCTTTGGATTTATTGTTGATTATTTTCACTGCTTTGCATTCCGCTTCGCTGCTGCTGATGTCTAGGCATTTTTGTGCATGGTTTCTAGCGCCTTTGCCATTGATAATGACCACAAAATCGTCTGCATAGTTAAGCAGTTTGGCTTTTGGTAACTTGAACTTCATGAATTGTTCCATGAGACAGC